TCTGTGAGTTTTCCGGGCCGCTCGTGACCGTGAGCACGGCTGTTATAACAGTTTGTAACCCTCTGCAGAGGTGGTGCACATTCACCGCGAGTCGTGATCCCCATATGCCTGGGTTAATTACTCCCATATCACTGCCAAGGTGAGCGGGCAGGGTACACTATGAAGCCATTTCATAGGTTTCTCTAACAAGTTAGGGCCGCTAGGTTTCCTTGGCAGGCAGATGTAGGAACCCCCCTTTCCTATGGCACATATTCATCGCGGCTATACACATAGGAACAGAGGCAGCCCTATACCCAATGTGGCAAGCCCCATTTGCGCCAAAAATGTAACCTCTAACTAGTTAGAAAAGGTTCTATTACTGAGCTAAAGTCAAAGCCATATGACTCCCACGGTTGCACTGTCAGTCCCAGCTTTTGCCAACAGATAAGTCCTTATGGAGGGCCGGGTGCAACATGATCAATAGTCATTTGCACCTTCGCCCTATGGAACAGTTGTTATATATCATGTTATACTTTTGGTTCCATAGAACCATTCATCATCATGTAGATCATGTTCAGTTAGAGAACTAGCAATCTACCCATATGCAATTACCCTATAGGAGTCAAGGGAACAAGTCATCAAATGTCTAGAATGTCCTTAGGGTTATCAAGATTAGACACATGCACATGAGTAATTGATTAAAGTGAAATAGGATATCAAGGTAGGCCCATGCTATACTTGCCTTGGTTCACAAACTCTTGCTGGTCCTGCTGGTCGTCGAAGAATTCTTGGTCTCCAACGTTCTCCTCACCGTCTAAACGCGACCAATATGGCAACATACAACATTCCCAAAAGCATTCATGCAAAGCAAACATTCCTATCATTAGAACAGTACACCAACAGTATAGAAAACAAGATAAAATGTTTGTGAAAATAATCTACGTCTCGCTACGATCACGTCAACGCGAAGTTCACGAAAAACAGAGCTAAAATGCGAAAGTTATGATTTAAACTAGATTTCCTATAGCAATATATTTAATTAAATCTAACCATGAAATTAAAAAGTTATAAACTTGACTAACAGTGATTCTAACATGTAGATTATGAAATTACGAAGCTAACGCGATTTGAACGGATCAATTCGGAGCTAAAACGACAATTTTATAAGCAAAACAGTCCAAATGGCATTTCTGTAAATACTGAAAACGTATTTTATACTAAAGCAGTGAACTTTACGTTTTCAAAACGAGAATGCGTAATCACGGAAATGCGCTTTGGACTGCAGGTTAGGACTTAGAAAATTACAGGGTCTCTTTAGCAAATTGACCCCCGAAGAGGTATCGGCCAATCAAAGCCGTCGGATTAGAAAGGAACGGCTAGAAACGAATCCGGGGGAGAGAGAAGGAGGATGGCCGGCCGGAACAGTGGCAGCGCGGCGGCTCAGCCATGAACGGCGGCGAGAGCTCACCGACGAGCTTGGTTAGGGGGCTAGGGTTCACCAATCGAAGAACTGAGAGCACCGGGGTTAGCGGGGGAAGCAGGGGGTCTCAGCCAGGCCAAAGAAGTGGCCGGAGGGGAAGGCCGAGGCGGCAGTCGCCACAGCCGGCGTCCAAGAGCGAACAGCGCATGCGGCTACGGCGCTAGAAGCCAAGAAACATGAAAATAATGGCACGAGAAGATAGAGTGGAGCAAGGGGGTTCTCACAGCGGGGGAAAAACGACGGTCGGCGGAGCTCCTCCGTGCAGTGGTTGCGACCTCCGTGGCGTGGGCGAGGGTGAAAACGGAGTGGGGAGAGGCAGCAGGGAGGCGGCTCGGGTGCGGGCTCCGATTTAAAGAGGCCAGGCGCGGGAAGGGGCGCTCCCACGACGCACGACGTGGGCGCGGGCGGTTTCAAGACGCACGGGAGGAAGGGGACGGCGCCGACAAGCGGGGCCCGGGAGTTAGCGGCTGGGGAAGGGAGGCGCGGCGACGGTTGCCCACGGAAGGCCGCTCGGCTGGGCCGGCGCAGGTGCTGGACCACGCGGAGCGCAAAGGGGGAGGCCGAGCTGGGCTGGCACGGTGAGGAGAGAAGGCCTGCGGGCCGAAAATAGAGAAGGAGAGGAAGAGGAAAATGATTCTTTTTTTTCTACAATTTTCCAAATCCATTTTTAAATTCAAATTTCAATTCTTCTTGAAATCTTTAATAAATTCCAAACATTCACAAAATAATATGTAGCAGCATGTATGCATCACTTGTAGCTAATCTTATATTTGATTTTAGTTTTATAAAATTATTATTTTCCTACATTTGTATGCACATATAATTGCGTAAATAAATCAATTTAGCTATTTTAAAAGAGTGCAAATTTTAGGATGTTACACAGAAGTACGTCGAAGACAACCCCAAATTAACCATGGAAGCGGCCGCGAACATCTATTATGATGTACAAGGGACGGGAACACCGGCAATGAAGTATGAAAGGGGCAACATTTTGGTTCTCGATGATGAGTATAAAAATTTGACAGCATATATGTGCCATTTACATGAATATTACATGGTTCAAGCAACAGAGACGGAGGACATTGGTTTTGAGGTTATTATCCGTTCGCCACATGTTTTCATTATCCTGAAGAAGAGAAGTTCGATGTCGAGTAGGAGTGCTTGTTCCAGCTATACCAGAAACGCTCTCTCGATTCACAAATATTGACGCTGTGGACTATGTAAGTACTCTACACGCACGATATTACAATTAACTACTCTCTCAAGACATAAATTGTTAACTTTTGAACACTTCCCATGATTTTATGTAGGTGTATAGCAAAATTTTACATACTAAAAAGCAAATGTGATAACATAGGCTTCTTGACCCCGAGCGAGTCAATGAGAAGACATGTTTAGGCCTCCATAGATGTGACGTGGAAGACCTAAAAGAGAGATTGATTGCTGTTTTCGATGAATTCAAGATGAAGAACAAAACCCACATACTTCTAGCCTAGAACTGCGAGTATATATTCTCGGCTTTTAATTTTATGCTTCCTTTTTTGTTAAGATTATTCGATAATTAGGATTCTGTGATTGCAGCAACCATTTCGTCTTCATTTGTGTCAATCTTGCTAAAAGTCTGATCGAGGTGTGGGACTCGAAGAAAAAACCATTTCATCATCTGGATGCACCGGTGGCAGTGCTAAATTAGTAAGACATCCTAATAACATATTATTTTCTAATCACACATACTGTTTTTTAATGTTTCTCCTTTTAATGTTGCACAGTGTCCGAAGAAGACATATCGGTGGGACGCAGGTCCCATTTAAGGTTGTCAAAATGGAGGGGAAGTACCTAAAACAGCCGGCGGGAAACAATAAATGCGGGTTTTATGTAAGGTGGGCAATGCTTCGCTATATCGGCGAGAAATCGGAAGAAGCTGATAAGTTGGTGTGTATAATCCCCATTTCATTTATGTCTATTAATAATTCAACAAAATGATTTACTAATTTCTCTTTGGATATCATCTTTTTTTAACAACAGCGCAAGAAATATAACCACGAAAGGTTGTTAGACATGGAGATCGTCGCACTGCAATCGGAGCTGGTAAAATTCATCTTAGCCGAGGTATTGGAAAAAGATAAAGTATTTTTCATTGCACAATCCGTGAAGTTCAAAGACCAGTATGGCCCAGAGCGGCTCGCTAGATTATTGTAAGAAGTCCGAGAAGCATGCTTCATCTTATCGAATAATTTCTTTTTTATTTTGAGAGATCGATATCTTGATAAGAACATTTGAACTGTAACATTTGTAATGTTTAATATTGATGAACCTATCATCTACGTAGTGTATATAAAGCAAAACCCAATTCCACGAAAAAATATAAATTAAAATAAATTATAAAATAATAAAATGCGAACGGGCCATCACTGCCGGCTTGTTGCTAAAATAATAAGATGGCACTGCCGGCTTGAGCCACAAACCGGCAGCATTGGCTTAGACATCACTGCCGGGTCTTGTCCCAAACCGGCAGTGCTGGTTATGACAACACTGCCGGCTAAAGACACAAACCGACAGTGATGTTCGAGGTTACAATGTCGGGTGGTCTCATGAACCGGCAGTGTTGGTTGAACTGAACTCTGTCGGGTTGTGTAAAGGACCGGCAGTGAAGTTGAAGAATACTGTCGGTTTGTAGGAACCGACAGTAATAGCTAACCATCATCACTGTCGGTATGGTTGTGCCGGTTCAAAATCCGACAGTAATGATGTGTTTTGAACCGGCAATATTGTCCTGATCTGGAGTAGTGAGATAGAGGGTGAGGCAGGAGACGAGTCAGCCCGTGGCGGGACGAGCTGGGCGGGATGTCTGGTGTCGGGTTGGCCTCAATTAACAGGAATGGGCTAACATGACTGCTCTGAAAATGGTTCAGATTTTTAGAGACAGACGTGTTTAGTGGCCCGCCACTGTTAATATATTTGAAGAGACAATACTTTTATGTGTGCCCCCATAAATAGGATGTCTGACTCTGAAAATCGTTGTGCATTTTTGGAGATATGGACATTTTGTGTCCGCCTCTATAAATCAAAAGGGTTGTCTCCTAAAATTACTTTTTAAGTAGTGGAGGCAGGATTAGAAAATCAAAGGGCATACAGGAAGTCAATCGACACTTGCCAGCACTGTACTCTAAGTATCAGAAGTCGGCCTGTAAGTGTAGTCATGCTTATAAAACAAGTAAAAATCACCAATAGTTGAGTAACTTACGAACTTTACAACATTACTCCTTTTATGAACATGAAGTGCACATTTCTTGTATTGAGACAAGGGAATAAACTAAGTAGAGCACTTACACGACCACACATGCATGCCAGGGAATGATAAAGAATGACCAAGTTACAATTAAAACATCATATTGCATATTTAAGGAAATAACAACGCGGACATAGGAGGACGATTAACTTGTGGATATGCACCAAAGTAGACTATATATATCTAAGCAAATCGTGGCGTGCTAACTTGACTCCGAAATGTGTCTCTTTCTCTTATAGCTCCTTGTACTCGTCAACGACCACGCTGGGATGCTTTGGATGCTTGCTTGCCAATGTCTTGATTTGAGAAACCTTCACCTTGGCAACTTCTGGCGCCTGACTGCTGACAGTCAGGAGCACCTGTCGGAGACTCACAAGGTTTTCCATGCCGTAAATGGCTTCCTGCCATTCTAAACTTCAGCTCAAGACTCTCTAGCTTTGGCATTGCTCCTTCCAGAAAGTTCAGAGGCGGCAGCACTGGTGTCACGAAGCGCAGCAGCTTAAGCTTTTCAAATCCTCCTGCTAGCACAAAGATTTCTCCTTCAGACTCCACTGCATTCTGACGCATAATCTGGAGAGCACTTGTTTTCTTCTTTGTAGAGTTCAGGATAAAAATGAGAGAGAACAGCTCAGGCAGCTTACTGAGAACCCGCAAGGCACTTGCCGTGAGTGAAGTTATGGACAGCGTTAGCTTCTCAAGGTTGTGCAGACGGCCGATCCAGCCAGGCAGTTGGGACAACTTGCCAGAGAGCCCAAGGCTGTGCAGGTGCTCCGGAGGGGCATGTGAAGCATTGAGCGAGCTGTCGTGGAAGCCCGTGAAATCATCGTCAATAGCCAGAAACTTGAGGGAGCAGCTGCTAAGGTGCTCAATGGCTGACAAAAGTAGAATGTTATCCTTGCCAGTGAAGGCACGAAGTTTGTAAACAGTGAGCTTCTTCAGGTTCGTGAGGTTCTCCAAGGCACGCAATCCCTTGGCCAAGCCTGTACTAGCAGCCTTGCATCTGAAACTTTTCTTGCCTTGCCAGTGGCCACAATAACCATCTGCATGCTTGGTGCTGACACTCATAGTCGGTGCGTCCAGTTTTTCTTCTTCCCCATTAGTAGATCCTCTCCTGGCAGCATTAGGAGAGCTTCCACAGATTTCAACCCCAGATAGTGTCTGTAGAGCCATCATCTTAGTGATCTCTTCAGTTAATGTTAACCCAACCCGCTTGCTCTTGCTGCCAGCAAGTAGATGTGTCATATTTTGTAGCTTCCCAACTGATGGAGGCAACTGCAAGATATTTGTATCCCTTATGTCAAGTACCTGAAGATATTCCAGACTACCTATCTCCTTTGGGATCTTGTTGATGTCTGTCCTTCGCAGGCTTAGGTACTTCAGCTGATGCATATCACATATTTTCTCAAGCTGATTCGTCGAGGATAAATCCTTGCAACTTTCAAGATCCAGCACCTGCAATATCTGAAACTTGGACAGAGTTGAATGAAGAGTTCTAAAACTCCCCACTGCTGTCAGAGATCGGACATGAGATAGCTTCATCCTCTCCACTGTTTCTTTCTCTTGCCGATCACTCTTTTGGACAGACAGTCGACGCACCTTATACGATGGAAAGGGTGTATGCCAGTGGCCACCAACCACGGTGATGAAATTCTCATCACTTGACTTGACCACCATATACTCAAGAACCATATCATGAACTTGGCAGCTCTTCACATTGCCATTATTGCTGCTGTAGACCGCTCGGATTAGGTTCCTGCTGATGAGTTCATTAAAGCAGTCCTCAGCAACTTCCTCAGCTATCTTCCCATGCTTTTCAGCGATGAAGCCTTCAGCAATCCACCTTCTGATTAGACTTTTTCTACTGATCAAACAACCCTTGGGTAACATGCTTAGGTACAATAGGCAAGTCTTAAGGTCAGCAGGCAATTGGTTATAGCAGTGGTTCACTATGTGTGTCACTCCATCTGTGGAGAGATTTTTTTCCAAGTCTTCGCCTAAATCCTTTCCCACTTGTTCCAGAATTTTCTCCAACCGTTTACTCATATCATTGCCCACTTGGGCCTTATGCTTCTCCAACTCTTCACCTGCATCCTTGTCCACGTGAGCCAAATTGTGGTCTTCTATTCGGGTGGTGTCTAACCCTGACCTCAATTTACTAGCCACGAGCCCAGCTACTAAAATTATGGCCAAAGGCAAACCTCCACATTTCTTCAGAAGAGCTATAGCATCTTCACTGGGAACTTTAGGAGCACTCGAGATGATCTGACGGAACAGTTTGTAGGAGTTATTGTCACTAAGAGGCTTGAGCTCATACACAAGGCCTTGTTGACGGCGGCACGCTTCAGCTACAGATTTGAACCTAGTTGTCACCACTATGCTGTTGCCCCTCTTGCTTTTTGGTAAAGTATCCCTAATGCTTTCCCATGCTGATACGGACCATATGTCATCTACCAATATATGGTACCTGTTACAAGCATTATGTAGAAGTCAATTAGTATTCCAAGTGATTAATATGGCATAAGTATACTTTACAAAATATGCTTATCTAGAACAAAGTAATAAGTACTCTGAAAGATTAACAAGCTTAGTTCACTATTACACAAACAATTTTTAGCAACTTGTCCATTTTTAGGTAGAGGCGGCTCTATCATAATCTGCCTATAAAACTGGTTTCCTAGTGACCCGTCTCTAAAATTTGATTTTTTTAGAGGCAGCTAGGTTTTCTAGCCGCCTCTAGAAATACCCTATGTTTTTAGAGGTGGCTGGCAAACCAAACCGTGTCTAATAATGCTATTTTTAGAGGCGGTTTGGCTTGTCAACAACCTCTAGGAATTGATGTATTCCTAGAGACGGTTAGAAATTGATTTTTAGAGGCAGTTTGACAATTTGGCCCGCCTCTACAAATAGGTCTTGCTGAATAAAATTATAACTTTTTCAAATTAAATTGGATGAAGACAAACTTTATATCAAAATTAAGTATCAACGAGATCTACAACTTTGTATTTGACAACTTTTCCATCTGACATCTAAGGCCTAAAAATTATGTTTAAGTTTTCATAATTTGAAATTCAACTTTTTTAAGAAAAAAATTCAAATGACCCTGGATAGAGAAACTATCTAAACCAAAATTGCAGTATTCTAATAACTGAGCTGCAACATTATAGTTGACTACTTTTTCATATAAATTCATTTAGTGCTTGGAAATAACATTGGGTATCGAAATGGATGTTTAAACTGGTTATATATAACTTGTTACATAATTGGAGATCATCATAAGGTGTGCAATAAAAGGAAAAATCGTACAAATTCTCACTATATAACATCCAATCATCCATTTTGTAGTCACAATCATTATTGACATAATAGCAATAGGATCTTATTGACTTTAAATGAAAACGAGATCAAATATACATGAATTATGTTTGCCAGCACTATGTAGACCATGCATTAGGCAAGCTGGGAGTTATAAGCATATTGATTTCCATGAGTTAGGCACCATATAAAGTAGTTCCCTTAATGGATCACATATTAATACTCCATGATGTAAGGAAAATGGACCCTTTGGGCCATTAAGTTTGATTTTGGTGTTTGATAAGTAACATGACCATTTGAACTAACAATGTTTGTTTGTTAGTATACAAGGTATAATTCAAATGGATGCAAGGTGGATTTGGACTTCGACAAAGTGCTGATCCGGATGACCAACACCTCAAACAAGACATTAGAAGACTTGTTGAAGACCTACAAGACATACTAAAAGTCCAAGATACAAGATGGAATCAAGCTGGATGCATAGACACGAAGAAACGGAGTCCAGTGGTCTTGTGTGACCCCAAGCAGGGCACCAGATAAAGCAGCGTCAGAGGCTGTCTGCACGAGGTCTTGAAGACCCACCGGATTAGTTCGGTGGCTGTGGCTATAGGAGCACCAAATCAAGCTCCAGCACTGTTCCAGACTAGGGTTTGGCACCGACTTAATCTGGTGAGTGCTGAATGTGAAGCACCAGATGAAACCGGTGATCACCAGTATTCCAGAGAGGAAAATAGGGCACCGATTGATATGGTGATGGACCCCATACTATATGCCTGTCATGTGCCCAATAGTCAGCAACGGCTAGTTTCTAGACACGCACCGGATTAGTCTAGTGGTAGCATCAAAGGAATTCAGTGACTACGTATATGCAGCAAGCTGCTGCCCTGCTCCAATGGCTAGTTTCTTTAGGGGCCTATTTGTACCCCCCCCCCCCCGCATGTACGGCCCTTTGGAGTGCGCTAAAGATATTGGAGTGTTGAACACTCTCGCAAGTGCTCTAGCCACCACACGATGCTTAATAGAAGATTAATGATTAGTATGGGTGCTTTGCGAAGTGTTTAGGCTAGTTAGACATCACATCAGCGTTGGCTCTTGGTTTGGGTTTAATATTTAGTGAGGTTTGCATACCTCTTGCTCACTCGGTGCTTGCATGCACCATTATTTTACTCAAAAGGGCTTGTAGTCTTGCGAGACCACACCTACCATGTTTGTGTTGTAGCCGCCACTGTGTACCAAAGGAAACGAGGCCCACGGTTTGTTGGCCAGAAGCTCAATTGTGAGAACGGCGGGGAGTGGTCCAGGAGAGGCCATCTCGAAGATCACTTGAGCGTGAGGAAGGCTCGGGGGCTATCCACGAAGTTAGCCGACCTAGAACTTAGCCCTTGCGAGGGCTTCCTTGCAAGGGGCTCTAACAATGACTAGGAGAAAGCAAGGAGCTTCTCGATACCTCGGTAAAAATACTGGAGTCAACGACGGGAGTTGGTATCTCCACCACTCTTTAGCCTCCGCATTTATATTATGTACTTAGGTTGTGTGCTTTGTATTCCTAGCTTAGTTTGATAGGCTAGTGATAGGATTAGAATCTCGGTTGCATAACTCTTTTACGGTAGAGATAGGAACACACCTAACAAAACATTAGTTGCACATCTAGATAGTTTGTTTTAATGCATAGGTTTTGACTAGGTGAAAATTAGAGACCATAGTTTTAGAAATACATTTTAAGTTTCTTAATTCAAACCCCTCTTAGTCGTCATGGTCCCTTCGAATGATAAGAATTTTGTAGTTGATTATTAATATATAAGCATTAATAATTTAATTCTAAGCATTCTAATTATTTTTAAGAAAATACATGACCACTCATAGCTACATTACAAAGGAAAATCGACTTAGTAGGTAATGGAGTGCAGACTAAAGTATGATATTGTGCTAACTAAGAATGAAACCTATTATGTTGAAACTAGATTCTTTAATAAATCAAAAGATAGGATCAATAATAAATGGTTCATCAAGCATTAGGGTTTCAACTTTTTACAAATTGCAGCAGGTAAGACCAAAACATCAAATCAAAATCTGAATTCTAAAGCCCTAACACATGGAGAGCAGCAAGAATTAACATGGCCCCAGCTAAGGTTTTAAATAAACATATATCAAACACACACACAAAGACACGATGCAAAGAGGGAAATTATCAATGTGATAGAAAACACATAAAGTAGTATTCTCTGTACTGATAAATAAGAGACATTTTTAGGTTGTTAAGACAACAGTTATGTACTTCGGTTGTATTACTTCTATGTATTGAGTTTCGAAATTTTAAAATAATATGATTCCAGCTGTCACAAAATTGGTTTCATAAAAGTTTACATCTGCTAGATTTTATAATGATTTTGTAGCAAAATATAGTAGTTAAAATTGTATTAGATAGACACTTGATAGTGTCAATGTATCCAAAACTTCACCTATTTTTAACTGGAGGGTGTAACAGCTAACCAAAGTTAATAGTCTAAAAACATTACCAAAGTTAATCACAACCAAATAAAAAACAGAGTATCCTTATGTGGACTGCATTATAGAAAAATAAAATAATATGTAAGAGGGAGAATGCACACAAAGGTGAGCAATTTTATTAGTTATGGGACCCAATTTCTCCATGACTTTCTAATGCTTCTCCGTGCGAGCAAATTGCAATTACTCATAGAACTCTAAAGGTGCAATTCATTCTAAGCTGGGTGAAAATTAGTCATAGAATCTATATTTATATTTATATCTTTTATAAAACTAATCCCCACTATAAGTTCTATCATAACATGCAAATCATCAACATCATTTTCCACTAACTATCCACATCATCTCCCACTAAAGCAGTGTTTGGTTTGCACTACAATAACACAAAACGGAAATAATATTAGTTCAAATCGAATGGCTTGCGGTAACATCTGTAGCTTTAAGTCCATTACATTTGCTACCAACGCTTCTACCAAGCAGCACGTACTAGTCATGTCATGTAACTAACTTTCAACCTCTTAATGCAACTAATTTTGATAAAATAGATGTAATAATATGTAGATGATTTAATTCATATATACAACAGCTTGGACCATACGGTGGCTGTCCACATGAAAGAATTTAAATTACCTACCTAAGATATTACTACAAAAGATAATAATCTAGGGTAACCCTAAATTTGCATATAAATGAGCCACTTAAATCACTATGCAAGATAACATTATTTTATATTTACATCTAAACTACCCACTTCTGCTATTATAACTCAAGTTTGCATCTAATAAATCACTCAGCTCATTCCCTTCATTATTAAAAATAAACTAAAAGATTCTTCTAAATACCAACATATTACTACAAAATATTGAATAACCATAAATATTACTGAATACTAATAGCACTATTAATTAATATATAAAATTTGGTGGTCTAGTTTTTTGATATATTTGCCATTCTGGGGTGCTATCACTACCAGAGACCGGCTCTTTGCCGAGTGTCAAGTGGTTTGCCGAGTGTTGTTTTTCGGGCACTCGGCAAAGACGTCTTTGCCGAGTGTTTTTTTTTACACTCGGCAAACAAGCTCTTTGCCGAGTGTTTTTTTTTTTGACACTCGGCAAAGAAGCTCTTTGCCGAGTGTTTTTTTTACACTCGGCAAACAAGCTTGTTTGCCGAGTGTTTTTTTTACACTCGGCAAAGAAAATTTCAAAGCACATTTTGAAGCAGTAAATTAATTCAAATGAAAAAGTTTTCAACTACAAAGTTGTATAACTCATCAAGATGTACAATGTTTGTTTTTGTCTTTTCTTCATATAAAAAAGTGAAAGTAAATTTGTTCACAAATCTAACATCTCTCTCTGGTAGTTTATGAAACTACAAGAGAGATATATAAGATTTATGAACAATGTTAGAACGACCATGTCGGATGAACAGATGACCAAACAACCAAAATAAACTTTGTAGATCTCGAAAAGTTATGAAACTTTGTAATTGGCAACTTTTTTATTTGAAATCATCTTGTCATGCAAAACTGTGTTTAAATTTCAAAATTTTAAATTCAAACTTTTCAAACGACCTCGGATGGAAAAACAACCAAAATAAACTTTGTAGATCTCGAAAAGTTATGAAACATTATAGTTGGCAACTTTTTGATTTGAAATCATCTTGTCATGCAAAACTGTGTTTGAATTTCAAAATTTTAAAATTCAAACTTTTCAAATGACCACGGATGGAAAAACAACCAAAATAAACTTTGTAGATCTCGAAAAGTTATGAAACATTGTAGTTGGTAACTTTTTGATTTGAAATCATCTTGTCATGCAAAACTGCATTTGAATTTCAAAATTTTAAAATTCAAATTTTGTAAACGACCTCGGATGGAAAAACTTCCTAAACTAAAAGTGTAGATCTCAAAAAGTTATGAAACTTTGTAGTTTACAACTTTTTTATTTGAATTCGTTTAGGGCCTCAAACAAGTAATTTACATTCGGTTTAGTATAATATATTAGGAACTAAAACGAAATCCAAACACAAATGAAAGCGTGGTGTAGTGGTAGAGGAGGTTTGCCGGTAGGGGAGGTCGCGGGTTCGATTCCCTTCGGCGGCCGCGTTGTCGTGATTTGACGCGAAAAATTGTGGAGATGGGCGCAGGCGCTGGCCAGTGGGGGCCTCCTCCAATAAAAAAAATTTCTATTTTTTTTGGTAAAAATTCCTATTTTTTCGGGTTTTTATCGGTTCCAACTTTGCCGAGTGTTGGGCACTCGGCAAAGGCTTTGCCGAGTGCCCGATAAAAAACACTCGGCAAAGTTGGCTTTGCCGTCACTTTTTTTACCATTTGCCGAGTGTTTTATGTCTTTTGCCGAGTGTTTGGGGCATTCGGCAAACTCAGGGAGTCCAGTAATTGCGCTCCACAATTTCTTTTCAAAAAATATATAAAGTTTAATTTAACTAAGTAAATATGCAAGCTGTGTGCCACCATGTAGACGAACTATACATATATGTATGAGCAAAGTATATATTTTTTGATTTACGAAATTCAACATCTAGACCACCAAAACAATTGTATGGCATTCTAGCTAGAAACTAAAAGCGCATTCTAGGATGTTGAATCCATTTTTAAATAAAATACAAAGGAGACTTTTAAGTAAATGGTATGATAAAGAATAGATGTTTCACTTGAAATATAGATAGATAAATTGTAGTGTCTAACAAATCAGAATGTAAAAGCTAAAATATAAGTTGACGTTATGACACAAGAGCTACAACAAGAAGTTGATATAACTTCGGCTAAGGTTAGCATCTAACCACATATCAAAAATACACAGATGTGCGATCCAAAGGGATTAAAACTATAATATGGATAAAAATATTTGGTAAATCTACCACAAATATATATAAAGATCTTAAAAATAAAATACCAATATAGGTATTGTGTTTGGAAAAAGAAAAATGAGAGAGCACCTCTTCTCTTTTAGCTGTTCGGCGAGGAGGTTTTTGAGCTCTTCTTCTTTCAATTCCTCAATCCCGTTGATGTCATTCTTGGAAGCCCCATCCTGCTGGTCATGAAATTGTTTGATAAGGCTTCTGAGAACAGTCGGGAGATGGAACTTCTGTGACGCCAAAACCAATGCTCTGCAATCAAACTCGTCTCCAAAGGTGCGGTACAAGGCCATGGCAAGAGTAGTCTTGCCAAGGCCACCAAACCCAACAATGGCAAGGAACCTTGGTTCTTTGAGTTCATCCTTGGCGTCCTGATTCGGATTGGTGCTCTGCTGGTTTGCCTCCATAAACCATTCTTTGAGTTCATCCTTGGCGTCCTCGATGCCCACAGGATCCACGGTGCCGATGAGCCCAGGAGGAGGTGCTGGGCGGTCAATTGGGGCATCTGTAGCTCCGTCTGAGCCGCTGTCCACCAGTCTTGCTGGATTCTCCACGCCGTACCTGGTGCGCCGCTCGCTGACGTGCTGCGCCCGGGCCTTGAGGTTGCCGATCTCGGTGGCGATGCAGTGGCGCGCGTACAGCGTGGTGAGCAGGTACCACGTCTGCTTGATGGAGGCCAGTCTGCCGCTCCCGCGGGGCTCGCGGCCCAGGCGGTGGCGCACCTTGTCCACGCAGTCCTCGATGTCGTAGGCCACCTCCCGGACCTGCTTCATCCAGTCCAGCCGCTGCTCATCATGCTTGGCCTCCTGTTTAAGCCTGTTGAGGAAGGCCTGCATGCTGGCCAGCTCGTCGTTGATGTACTGGATGTCGTCGCTGACGCCTCCGATCAGGGTGTACTCCTGGGCTAGGAGGCTCCCAAGTTTGCTGACGAGGGATTTCACGGCATCGTTGGAAGCGCCGACGACGAGATCCATGGCCGGCCTCGCTCTTAGCTACTCGGTACTCGCCCGTCGATGCAGCTACTGGAGGTTCATAAGCTTTTGTGGTTGCTCCATGGAAGCAAATGGATGCAATGCTATGCTGCTAGCTAGATTTCGTTTTCTTCTAATAATATAGTGCTTTATCTTTCTGATAATCGTATGCTAGAAGCTTTGGAGTTTGGACACACAAATATAAATATTCATTAGAAGAGGATGGCCTGGCTTTGCGTGAAACAGGAGGGTACTCATGTGAGTAAAGTACCCAGAGAATCCATGGAGGATTGGAGTTGAGGTACACGAATGGAATTTGATGAAGATGGCGTGCCGTGCGGCATGGGTAACGAATCAACGGGGTGGAGAACGTTCCAGGCTACCAGATGCGCCACTGGATTTCGATAATCCATAGGCCTTGTTTAGTTGGCGAATTTTTTTGGGAAATAGTACCGTAACACTTTCGTTGTTATTTGACCATTAGTGTCCAATCATAGTCTAATTAGGCTTAAAAGATTCGTCTCGTGAATTTCGTCTAAACTGTGTAATTAGTTTTATTTTTTATTTATATTTAATGCTTCATGCATGCGTCCAAAGATTCGATGTGACGGAGAATCTTGAAAAATTTTGCAAAATTTTTGGAACTAAACAGGCACATAGTCTAAATGGATTCTGCTTTGAATACATTTTGATCAGGTTTGTTTGGATTGGATATCCCTGTATATTAAAATTAGGGTTTTTATTATCCTGCCATTACAATTCTTGAACTTTGGAGATATACCATTACAATTCACCAATTCTGAAACTTGCCATTATAATTCTTCTTCTACCTGATCCTTGCCATTTTCCACATCTTCCGAATGCCTAGGTCCACTGTCAGACCGTATACGTGTACGCATCTTCCGTATGGACCAAACACCCCTGCTTCTTAATTATCTCGCTCCGCTCGCTAACATGTGGGCCACACATGTCAGCTTCTCCTTCAACCTCCAGAATACACTGGCTTTTACCCCCGAGGTCCTCTCTGGCTCTCTCTCTCTTTCTCACTCACTTCAACGCAGGAGTAGAGGAGGTGGATTCTGGCCAGCGGTGGTGCTCACCGGCGCGGGCACGGGCGAGGGGCGCGGGAGCAACGGCGGGACCGGACACACTACTGGGTGGCCACAGCCCGGCTCGTAGAGGCCCCAGCCGAGCATGCCAAGGCAGCCAGCAGCGGGTGCAGCCGCGACACGGTGCTCACGGTGCTCCGGAGGTGGGCAGGATGGCCGAGGGCGCGCTGGTGGAGGAAGCAAATGGGGAAGGTGGTGGCGGGGTCCGTTCGTCCATAGGCGGCCGCGGCATGATAGCAGCACAAGGGATGGAGGGAAACATGACGGATGTGGTGGTGGTGGGTGCAGCGGTGAACAACGGCGATGAGCTCGGATTTGAGCTCGCGGCTATGGCGCCCGCGCGCGGCAGCGGCACGGGGCTCCACTTGAGGGCGCGAGGGTGGGTGTAACGATCCACGATTTCCACGAAGGGGAATCCACATATACGAATTATAATGTGATAGTCCTAGGAGATGGCGCCATCACATTATCAGATAACAGCTAATATCACAGTTCATATATCAAATACCTGTCTTAGAAGTACAATAGAAAGGTTTAATTATTTATTATTACATCACCACTTGGTGGAATCATCAGTGTTACAGCATCCAAAACAACATCAGAGTAGGCGGAGCATCCAGCTGGCGAAAGCATCTTCTCCATCGACAAACTCGAGCAAAGAACGAACACCTCTAATCCTCTCATTTATCGGCTTGGTCGTCGTACTCAACACCTGCCAAATAACTTTCAGTAGGATTTGTACTGGCCAGTGGCTCCCACCCTATGCTTTGCATTGCTTTGTGGTAAGTGGAATGCAAGGGTAGAGCAAAAGAACCTATTTTGTGGTTGTAGTCTTCCTATACGTAGTTCATCAATATTTCATAATTAATTATTTCACAAACTTTAACCCATCTCATCCATCCATCCATCCCATCCACACATCTCACCACACTCAAGGATGACTCTCTCTCATACCTTGCCTCATCGGCCCATGCCGAAATCCAATCCAAACCCAAGGGGGAAGAAGAAGGACTCCTCTCTCTAGTCAAGTGAAGCAATAACATAGGAAAGGTCCATTGCCCTAAAAGAACGACTATGTATCAATCAATCAACCAGAAACTCTGCAGAGGTTTACACTATCCACAAGATCACCATCATCGGCAGTGCCCCGCCTAGGCCGGTTCCAGACAGCTTTTTAAACTAGAACGATACCACCCTGCCACTCAGCCCTGAGGCTCCCCGGAGTCCACCGACACACTGATACTGTGAAACGCAATGCCCGGCCACCAGGGTCACTATGCATCTGAGGAGGATCGGGTCCAAATGGCCTCACCTCTGTAAACTGTCAACTACAACCGAGCAGTAGTGGCATCGCCTAGGTTAGTCCACATCCGTCTCCCACCCATTCAAAGCGAGTGGTGTGTAATGGTTTCTATGAACCGGTGCCCAGAACAAGACATCTTCTCACAACCTATTAACGCCTCGTGCTTCAATAGCACCTCTATTCTTGGGATTCATCCCACGAAGACACTCCTCTCTAGAATCTATACCACTAACCAGTACCCGCCACAGGTCACACCTATTTGGCAAGACTTGCCCCAAAGGCTCTGAAAGGATCAAGATGCCCAAGAGGGGGGGTGAATTGGGCCAATTCTATTTTTTTTGCAATAATTGAACCCTACACTTAGCTCACTTCACCCTTGTGCCTAGAATATATTTCTAATATTCTACCGCACAAAAGTTTTGCAACCTAAGTTCCAATCCTACTCTAGCATGGCAATTCTATGAATGTAAAGACAAGAATTGAATTGCTCAAAGTAAATGTTCAAAGTAAAGAGAGAAGGAGGAATGCGGCGATGTTTTGCTGAGGTATCGGAGAGTCGCCACTCCCCACTAGTCCTCGTTGGAGCACCCGCGCAAGGGTGTAGCTCCCCTTGATCCGCGCAAGGATCAAGTGCTCTCTATGGGTCGATTCTTCGACACTCCGTCGCGGTGAATCACCCACAACCGCTCACAACTTGAGTTGGGTCATCCACAAGCTCCATCGGATGATCACCAAACTCCCAATCACCACCAATCCGTCTAGGTGATGGCGATCACCAAGAGTAACAAGCAAGAATTCTCACTTCACCACAACAAGCCGAATGAGAAGGGTGGATGCACACTTGCTACTCTCTTTTTGCTAATGAGGTCTTAATGTTGGATTCTCAAATCTTAATCACCTCACTAGGCTCTTGCTCTCCTTGGCACTCTCAAAGGTGTTTCTTAGCTATTGAAATGGGCAAGAGTGCTCCCTTGAATGAATAGAGGAAGTATTTATACACCCTCATTCAAAACGAACCGTTATGTGCCATTGCGGGGTGACCGGACGCTCCGGTCAGTTCTCCCAGCCACTGAGCCGTTAAGTTGTGACCGGACTCTGACCAGCGTTTGGTCAGCACTGACCGGACGCATCCGGTCACGAAAACTGCTCTCTGGAACCTTACTAGAGTTGACCGGACGCTGGAACCCAGCGTCCGGTTGCCTTTCTCTCAGCGTCCGATCACAACTAGACGACTTCACCTTGATCAAATGAACTGACCGGACCCTGCGCCAGCGTCCGGTCACACCAGAACCAGCGTCCGGTCAACATTTGACCCTCCATTCACTTCCAACTCGCAATCATATGTGAATGAAGTTTTCTCCAATTGATCTTAGGGCTACTTAGGAGCTACCTAGTGCTAGATTTGACAAGTGCGCACCACACCTAACTCACTAGACTCACCTAGGTCAAGCTACTAGTCCATACCCCCCTTAATAGTACGGCCAAAGGAAAAACAAAGTCCTAAACTACTCTAAGTGTCTCTTCAACACCAAACGACACTTAGAACTAGTCCATCCTTAACCTTGTCGTCCATCCTTTGAAAACCAAAACGATTTCCATCGTAGGGGCATGACAACCATGATTGCCCAATCAATTCCCATTACCATGACCTAACTTAATTGCCTCTGCAAAACACACGTTAGTCATAGTAATCACGTATTGTCATTAATCACCGAAAACCAACTAGGGGCTTAGATGCTTTCAATCTCCTCCTTTTTAGTGATTGATGATAATACAACCTCGAGTATGTAAAAGAGATGAGGTTTTCAACATGCTTGGTTCATATAAGCTTGTGACAATAAGAACAAGAGAGTTAGTCAAGCTTATATGACCCAAGCCAACATGATGTACTCAGTAGATATGAAATAAGCATGAGTACAAGAAATAAAGCTCATTTGCATCGGAGTAAAAATGCGGAAGCAAAGCAAATGAGCATAACCAAGTGACATGACATACATAAAGATCAAAGTAGAGAGCACACATGTCACATATCACATAAATATCACGATCACACTTAGTTCAATGCATGAAAGTAAACATGAATGCATAATAATGTATCACACATAAAAATCCAAATATAATAAATAAGCTCCCCCTAGATATATCGCTCCCCCTATGTCTATCATACTCGATCCCTCTCCCCCTTTGGCGTCAAACACCAAAACCTAAGGGTCGATCGGCAGGGCTGGAGTAGACAAGTCTAGCACTAAGGCACGGTGAACGATCTAAAACTGGGTAGCATCATCATCTGATCCTGAGCTCTGAGCAGTATGACCCTCTATCACTGGAAGTGACGCTGAAGTGGTCTAGGTCGGATCTAGGACTGGTGCGGCCTATGACTCTGCAGGTATCACTAAAGCAGGCTGCTTTGATGACGCAACAGATGAAGGGAGCGTCTCTGTAGTCTTAGTAATAGGAGCAACTATGGAAGGACCATGAACATGTAGATCTGGCGGTGTAGGCTGCCCTGTCAACTTGCGAAAGGTAGCACCAAGGCTCTTAGAGACTGGGGTGTCTATCATAAGCAATGAGGAACTCTAAGCCGGTGTGAA